CTGCTTAAAGGCCAACTACAAAACGCACGTGGATCGTGCAGAGAAAAGTTTTAGAATGTACAAGTACAACACATTTTTGACGTACTTCACACAATCTACTGATGAAGTCAACTGGAAAACTCGCATTGCTTTGATGTTCGGCCAACAATTGCAGAAGCGGACAAAGCTATTGTAGGGCAATGAATGTGTGAGCACACCCCACACCCACACTCGCCCACACATACATGTACTCGTACAGGAAAACAAACCCACTCACTCGAGCACACACAAGCATGCCATTTGGCAAATGTCCTTTGGCATAGGCAAGCGGGCAGACGCAACGCTCAACTTCAAAGCCCAAATGACCTTTGTGTGTACATGGTTGGGTGTATTTGTGTTTGTGGCCGCCTGTTGGACATACAAAGCGCACTAAATAGTAATTTACTAAATTAGTTTATTTTTCTAATTACACCAACTCAGCAATAGCTCGAGCAACTGTGAATAGCTACAACAACAGCGGCAACAGGGCCCTCAGCAACCACAAGGCGCATTAAACGCAAGTTAAGTTTTTGCCTCTTGTGGCCGACATTAAAAATTTTAATTACCCTAAAAGGATTTCAATTAACGTTTGAAGTTGCCCAGCAAAATGAAATGAAAATTTGTGTGTTTTAGTAATAATCATAAAAACATCAGTTTAAATATAGACTTTGAGAATGGAAACAAAGAGGAGTCTGTTTGCACATTTGTATGAGTGTATGTTATGTAAGTACGAGTATGTATTATTTACATACACTGGTCGGCACAATTATTTTGACGAGAAGAAAATCATACATTTTTGTCAATAACTGGTTATTGGTTTAAGATATCAAAGGAAATTTTTTTTCTCAATTCCATATTGGTATTACAAACTTAAAAATAATTCAAAGGATATATTTTTATAAGGACTTTTAAAATTATAAATCAAGGTAATTTTCATGGGTTGGCATAAGTATTTTGACAATGGATATTAACAAAAAAAACAAAGCTTAATACTAAACAAAACATAAGAAATTGATGGTAGATTAATAAAATGTATACCCGCCTTTGGCTTCGATAACTTTTTGAAGACGTCTTGGAACTGAGTCCACTAAATTTTGAAGGACCTCTAATGGTATCTCTTTCCAAAGAGAAGTGACCTCGGAAATAGTTTCTTCTTCGGTTTTATGCAAAGACGCATTTCTTTTACGTTTTACAAGAGACCACACATTCTCAATAACGTTTAAGTCCGGACTTTGTGGTGGCCAATCCAGAGTAGTAACACCAACATCGGTTAAAAATGCTCTTATCATTTTGCTTTTGTGGCATGGGGCGTTATCCTGTTGCAGGATAAATGATTCTCCAATCAGCCTGTCACCGGAAGGGAATGCGTTTTCGTTAAGGGTACTCAAATATTGTTGCTGGTTCATTGAGCCGGTGATGGGAACGAAATCACCTAACCCATTGTACGCAATGCATCCCCAGAACATGACTGAGCCTCCGCCATGGCTCACTTTTTGACATACGGGGATATTTTTTTGTCTTTGAAACTGTGGGAGCCTTACAAAAATCTTTGTTTTTGATGAATTGTATTCAAAGGAGCTTTCATCTGTCCATAGAACGCTTCTCCAAAACTCTTTTGGCTTATGCAGATGCTCCTTTGCAAAAGCCAATCTTTTGAGCTTGTTCACCTTTGATATGTAAGGTATGTCCTTCGCTTTGTATGTCTTAAAATCTACTTCTTTTAGGCGTCGCCGAACAGTACGCTCACTGATTGGAGTCTTGGTCGACTTATTCCATTGATCTGCAGCAGCTTGCGGCTTTAAATGAATATTTTTTTTAAATTCCCGCAATAGGACTCGATCTTCAATGGGTGTTGTTTTGCGGTTAGCACCTGATCTAGGCAAGTTTTTGACGTGATTGTGGGTCTTATATTTGTTAATTTGATAGTGGACTGTTTGCCGCGACAAATTATATTCATTTGCAATGTCTTTTGGTGCTACGCCGGCATTAAACTTCGCCACTATTGAGGCTCTAACAACATAACTTAATTCTGTCTTTTTTACCATTGTATCGATTACTTTTGAATCAAATTTTAATGAAAATAATGTAAAAAGGTCAACAAAAATTGTTACACCAAAGTTATTTTAGTATCACTTGATAAAACGTACGCGAAAACGGCGACAAAGATTTGGTCAAAATACTTATGCCGTGCCTGAATCCGCAGTCAACTCACATTGTCATTTGTAGAAAGAAGGTGTGAAGAGTAATAGGCAAAATATTTTGCCTACATATTGTTGTTGCTATGAACTCTATATCCCGTATGAAAATTGTACCGTTATTCCTTGAAACTAAAAGCAACCAGCACCGATAGTCGTGAGTACAGTTCGTCAAAATAATTGTGCCGACCAGTGTATGTGTGGGTAAAAATTAATTACCCCTACACCATTCAAATGCAATTAAAATCATCCAAATTATGTAATAATGTAAAAACAATAAAGGGCACGTACAACAAATGTTGAGACAAAAGTGTTATTAATTAAAATAAATGCGAATTTATGTTTATATAAAAAATGGAGTGTTTCATGATCAAATATTAAGTGCTACGCCAATTAACTGGCAAATTATTAATATGTACGTGCAAAAATAAATACAAAATACACCATTAGTCTAATTACTTAACAAATTGCAAATATAATTATTAATTGTAATAAAAACAAACCACGAAAGACTTTTGTGGAATTATGAATACTCTTTAATTAAGCACTCCCAACTCCACCTTTCCTCCAAACTTAGATAATTGCCTCAATATCAACGATTCTGTCTCTAGGTTTCCATTATAGATTATAACTATGTTACTGGAAAGTTATGGGAACTAAATTTCAGAATTTGCCCTTAGATTTCTTCTACGTTGACCACAACAGGATTTACCGCGATCTAAAGACTTTTGTAGTCGGTATTAACATTTTTGAATAATAAAGTTATAAGCAAGATAAGTTATATGTTTTTTTAACAAGTTGGCGGCATCACGCCTCCTACTTAGGAGGAAATCAATAGTTTTCATTATTTATAAACTGAGTATTTGATGCATATTTTTATAGCCTGTACCCAAAGGGTAAAAGGCTATACTAGTTTTGTGCGAATGCGAAGGAGGCATGGCAGATCAGGGTGACAAGCCGAGTCGATATAGCCATGTCCGTCCGTCCGTCCGTCCGTCTGTATGAGCGCAAGGATCTCAGAAACTATAAAAGCTAGAATAACCAAAGTTGGCATCCAGATTTTCCTAGGTCCGAGAAAGGACGAGTTTATTTTAATTTTTTTAATTCCCCCCCCCCCCTTCCCCCGCTACAGAATTTCGTCAATAGCATCCACATTTCAAATGCTATCTAAACCGAACTTTGCACGCATAATTTATATATAATTGTCTACTGTTGTCTAATTTTATTCATTTCGGTCAATTCTAAGAAAAGTTATTAGCAAAATAAATGCTCGCCAGCACAACACCCACAAACTGCAGCAACAAGTTCGCTCTTCTTCTTCCTCTTTTTGCTGCTACTATGGGCGCATATAACTCAGTGACGGAAGTTTACCTGGGTACAGGGTATTACACTGTCGGGGTTGCTCGACTGTAGCGTTCTCTCTTGTTTTTTAATAATTTAATTTTTTTTAATTTTTCTTTTTTGTGGAGAGTACAGGCTATTTTACTGTCGGGCTTGCTCGACTGTAGCGTTCTATCTTGTTATATAATGCAAGCGGAGCACATTATATATGTACATATATACAAGTACATAGTATATATTTACTACCAAGTGAAAAACGTACTAGTACATAACTGGCTGGTTTTAATATTCTGTAAAACTCAAATTATATGACTTCTTTTTAATGCACCATATTCATCTCAAATATATATTTTTGATGAATATATCAATAATATTAGTAATAGTATTAGGAGCTTTTTTTATTTTGAGATTAATCAAAATTTTGTAATTTCATAATTCAACGCAATATTAAGCTATGGATAGTGACTGGAGCCGTCAGTGAACCACAACTTATTCTCAATCCACAAATATTAAAATAAACATATTTAGGATAGGCAGATATGGCTGAGCCGTATACACGGCCCTGACTCCTATATAACTCCTCCATTGTGATCTGTTTAGATAGTTAAGCATTATTTCAACAATTTAAAACCTTTAATCATACCTCCAATCTTATGTTGCATTTCTCGATTTTTCTTTTGCGATCGGAGTAGATTTGGCACGAGCTCCTATTAGTTGATGCTTCATCGGAATTTAATATATAATAATTAATATTATTTTGTATACACATATTTACCCCAAAAATTTGTAAAATAATACTTTTTCCATAATACTGCATGATTAAAGTCTTGCTTTGGAGCAACCATAGTGCACTTTTTCGAATTAAAAAAAATCAACATTTAATCTAGAAAGAGGCTTAACTATTTAGTAAAAATTTATTCAGCATACATTTATTTATATTTTTTAATATTTACTTATTATTTTAATATAAAAAGAAATCGATGATAAAATTGTCTGAACCTTTCTTACATAGCATCGTATTTATTTTCCCGACAGAAGTATTTGCATTTTAAATCAGTTTAATGAAACTTTGCCCTTTTTTCTAGGAGTTCACCTAGGGTATCCCAAAGTCGAATGAACACATACGTGTAGTATCGCTCTATAAATTTGTACAAATTATGGCACTGTGAGATAAAATAGTGCCAACATTTTTAAACAGTTTGCCGGTGTTAGTTGCACCGTCATTTAAAAAACCAATAAGATCATCGCGCTGATCTTACAGCTGCCATTGACAATGACTCGTGCCATGCTAGATCGTACTTGACTTTTTGCTCAATTACGTAGCGTGACCAATTCGCCGTTGCGAGCCGATAATCAGATGCATAGAAAATCAAATGGGCGACAAAGTGCAATGAGCAAGCTATAAAAGGCATTCGAACAAGTCGGCCAGCGATTAGTCAACTCTGAGCCACATCATCATGAAGGCAACAGTTCTATTGACTTTGCTGCTGGGTTGCCTAGCGGCGACTCTGGTAATTCGTAAGTAATATTAAGCTGGCTAGTAACTCATACTATGCTTGTAAGCAGGCCGATGATGCAGAAATCCAGAAGACAGTGGCCAGTTGCATGAAAGAAAACGGGGTTACACCGCAGGAAGTCGCCGACCTAAAGTCGGGGAAAACCAAGCCAGAGGACATCAAGGATAACGTCAAGTGCGCCACGCAGTGCTTGTTCGTGAAGAGTGGCTTCATGGATGCCAAGGGCGCCTTGCTGACCGATGCGGTAAATCAGCACTTTGCCGACACGCCCATAAAGGATGATGTGGCGAAGGCGATGGCAGCCTGCGGCAGCGTGACAGGCGCCAATCCCTGTGACGCGGCATTCCAAACAATGATCTGCATACAGGAACACGGCAAAGGCTTGGTTATATAGTGATCACAGCACCAAAGTCCGACACGACCTTTTTTATTCCTCCCAAATAAAGTTAAGCATGAGCATACAGAAGGAACAATTTTCGTCCTAAAATGTATACCATGGTTCACTACAGAGACTCAGATAATTAGCCAATTTATTACCCAACTATGTAACAAAAAAAGATTCCATCGACCTAAAGTGTGTAGTTTTATAAAGGCAACATATCTGACAATATATCTATTAAAATTGAGCGACTGCTCACAGTAGCGCACTTACGAATTTGCTTACGTGTCGACCCGATAAACGCACATCAAAAATTTGCTTACGGGAATTGCTCAAAAACGGCTTTCTTTTGTGATCTCGCTAACACTCTTCTCCGACAATCTGCTGAGTGCAGAAGCCAGCACCAAAGAATAGAGATTTCCATTACCATTAACGATTCTATGTTATGTCTATGCGTGTCTTTTCGTGTCTGTGTGTAAGAAGCATGTTTGTAGTAAAATGTTGAACAAAAGCAGCGCTTGGGCAAATACTTTATATATATATCCAAAAATATAATAAACTTGCACAGCGCACACATACTTGTATAAGGCATCTTTGTGCAAAATTTGGTGTCTCTAGCTCTTATAGTTTCTGAAATCCAGGTGTTCATACGGACGGACGGACGGACGGACGGACAGACAGACAGACAGACAGGGCTAGATCGACTCGTCTTATCACCCTGATCAAGAATATAGTATATAGTTTGTGTCGTCTGCCACGCCTCCTTTGCCTCTTACATTTTTCAGCTCCAGCAAACCTAATATACTCGAGTACATTTCATGTACTGAGTATAAAAATTGTTTTTAAAAATAAATAAATAATCTACACATATATGTATACAGGGTATTTCACAGTCGGGACACTTGACCTGAATTTTTCCCCCTTGTTATTTTTTCAATTGGATCGTTCCTTGACAGTCCTGATTACCTATGTACAGTACAAGGAGGGCAAAATATCTAATTTGGCTAACATTCCAAAAAATTTGCCAAATGTCTTTAATTAAATTATTATTTGACCCTACAAAGGCAAGGAAGGCGTGCGTAGAGTCATAGCCACGGGCAACAATTTCAATCGAACTCGCCTGGGTAGAGATATTTATTCTATTGGACTTATGCTGTTGCTTTTGCTATTATTTGGACAGAAGGCAACTATGTACATAACTGTTTGGCTAGGGTATATTATTACTTTCAAGAATTTTTAATTTCTGCATTGTAAAAATATTTATTGAAACCAAACCGCTCGAAGACATGAAAAGTTGGCGGACGCTCTGAGGACGAAAATAAGGACGAGAATGTCGAAGGGCCAAAGAAAAATAAAGCCCGAAATGCGGGAATGTTCATATCGAAGGGTGGTGTAAATATTATCTTAAGCGCTCGACTTTAAGTTTAAGGCTATAAAGTAAAGTAAAAGGCTATAAATTACTTCAAGGTTCAAGTTTATGAAGTTTTCTGCTTGCTTCCGATACGATCCGATTCAACACCCCACCCTTCAGTATGTTGGTAATAGCCAGTGAAACCTGCACAAACAAATTGAATGAAATCAACTCGTTAAAAAGTAAATAACTCTGATGAATGGCTAAAGTACACAAAAAGCAAACTGAACATGCAGGCAACCCGCCGGCTACGTAGGTAGTCAGGCCCAAGCGTCAACTTCTGGTTCTGCCCGCCACGTCGGCTGGCATTCAATTGAAAATGGAATACAAATAAAAATGCAAACAAGAGCAACGCATTGCCCCATACTGATGTCGACTAAGCAGGTAACTGCGCCTGCAGGATAAGCCTCTCCTACTGCCGGTCGGTGCGGATGCTGACTGGGAGTATGGACTGCACCACGGCTCAGAAAATTAATAGACCGACCTGCTCACAATGTGGCATTGCATAAAAATGAATTGAAAATTTTGAAAAGGCAAAAGGAAAATGGCTTGTAAGCAGTTACAAAAACACACAAGCAACAAACTGCAACCAACATCGACTGCCAACTAGAGATGGACGTGGGTTCTAATTTTAAAATTCTCAACGTGCACAACCATTATTCAACATCGGAAATTATGTTAGTTAGTGTTAAGTCTCATCCGGCATAGTTTGGCGAAGCCCAAATTAAATAACATACCCGTATGTATGACAGTTTTTTAAGTTATTGGAACATACCTTCTGTACGAAATCATTACGCCAATAATAAATAAATCTATTTAATAGCCAATTAACTCTGAAAAATGGATTAATTTTTCCAAAAATATAATTTCAACATTTCAATACCATTTCAGTGCGGGAAATTAGAGAAATTCCGAGTTGTATCATTCTTTTCATTTTTCACAAAGTATGGATATATATTCTTGATCAGTATGATAAGACGAATAGATATAGCGTCCGTATGTTTGTAAGAGTATCAACGCAAGGATCTTAGAAGGTACAAGAGCTAAAATCGTTTGACTCACAAATGACTCAAAATGTCTCTATTGTTCAGTTGTTTTGGATGCTTTGTGTGAATGCTAGTGTTTTAACTATGGATTTAGTAATTGGCTAATTTAATAATATCTACACGGGATATTAAAAATAGCTTTGTTTTAGATTGTTCAGAAAAACTATAAGGTTTATGCAATGATTATTATAGCCTGTACCCAAAGGGTGAAAGGCTATACTAGTTTTGTGCGCATGTATGTAACACACAGAAGGAGGCGTGGCAGACCCCACAAAGTATATATATTCTTGATCAGGATGAGAAGCCGAGTCGATATAGCCTTGTCCGTCCGTCCGTCTGTCCGTCTGTCTGTCCGTATGAACGCAAGGATCTCAGAAAGTATAAGAGCTAGAATAACCAAACTTCGTTCCCATATTCTCCTAACACCGAGAAAGTACGAGTTTGAGTTTTTTTTCGATGCACCCCCCCACTCCCCCGCAATTCGTGTTTTTTCTTATAACTTCCGTAATTCTCGAAATTTTGAAATCAATTTTGGTAGGTACATCCAGTTAGTACTAATGTGTCCGTGTGCCAAATTTCATCATGATAGGTCAATTCTGAAGAAAGTTATAGCCATAAGTAAAATCGCTGCTCATGCGCTGCCTGCAGCTCTGTCGGCAGCGCTACCCGCAGCTGTTGTTGTTGTTGCTGCTTTTGTTCAACTTTGTGCTGCATACATACACGCATATAAACACGCATAGGTACGTGATGTAAATGTATGCTGTTAAAACTGAACATAAACATGTATTCTAATTTAATTTAATTAATTAATTCATTCATTCATTTTTTTAATAATTTAATTTTTTTTAATTTTTCTTTTTTGTGGAGAGTACAGGCTATTTTACTGTCGGGCTTGCTCGACTGTAGCGTTCTATCTTGTTTTTATTTAGAAAAATGTCTTTGTTAGTATTTTTCAAAACCTCCCAAATGAGACTGTGGCACCAAGAATTGGTTTTATGCCGAAATTTGTCCGAAAAACTACATATTCGCACAAAACTAGAATACCCTTTCACCCTTTGGGTACAGGGTATAAAAATTATATAAATGCATCTATGTATATATGTATGTACATATATAATCTCTTTATGAAAATCGTGTTGATGTTGTTAAGTTGTCTTAAGTCGTCAATGGTTTCATCAAGAATCGCTGTTTCAAAAAAATCCTAAGCTGTGAGGTCGTTAGAATTTACGCGCGATGCCTTAAAATAGAAATAGAATCTATACATATGATCCATAAAAACTTCAAGAAATCTAACTCAGTTCTATTTTAAGGCGAAATAGTGCGCCAAAATACTGAATGCAGGGGCGTAGGCAGCTTTTGCCAAAGGGGGGCCAACAAATTAAAATTATGATTAAATAGTGCACTATGCATTTAAAAAATAACATATGATCAATGAAAAAACTTCAACAAATCCAACTCAGATCCATTTTAAGGCGAAATAGTGCGTCATAATAATTAACGTGTGGTCGACTTTATATGGCAAAATTTTTTGTAGGGCGGCAACGTCCCCCCCCCCCCTCCCCCCGCCTACGCCCTTGACTGAACGTGTGGTTGACTTCATATGGCCTACGCCCTTGTATGGGTACATAATAGAAAGTAGGCTTCTTGACTCCTGCATTCGACTTGTTTCTCTCTGTGTGCAATTACCGAAGAATGGTCAAAAGCAAAAATTCACTTTATATATATTTTATATATTTTAACATATTGGTTCGCTTAGTTGGCTTTATAGTTAGTCAGCTTCTCTAAGACGCTGCAGTTTATTAAAACGTACCTAAGCAGCAGCGCAGGCGAAAATTGGCGAAAATGCTCGTCAAAAATATGCGGTAACCAAAGCAACTCCTTTCTTTTGCAATCTACCCCAGACCATTGCCCAATTCAAACCCCATTCAACAACAGTTTCGCATAATTGTAAATTCAAGTGGAAATGAATGAATTTATACTAAACTCGACAGAAAACACATACCACCAACGAATGTATCCGTTGAAGTTGATGCCGCGTTTGTACCCAACGTTAACGGTTACCTTTCCCAATTGCGCACACAGCAAACAATATGGCGTCGCGTCGCATCGTGTCGCGTCGCACGGAATCACGTTGCCGCATATTTTCATTCATTTCAACGTCAACGTCTGCTGCGCCTGCGAGACCGATAGCAGCAGGAACTGCGACTGCGACTGCAAAGTTATGGAATGTATTACGGGCGTTTTTTTCGCAACCATGGCCATAGCCTGTACTCAGACAAAGCATCCACCATTTGAATGTGTACGTGGCAATGTGGCATCTCGGTAACGGCAACGGCAACGTCAACGGCTCCGGCACCGACACGGGCATCGCTCCTCTGTCCCACAAGTATGTACGAGTATATGCCTTTATTTATTTAACATTTCAATTGCATACTTTTGCACAAAGGCGAACCCAGGCAGGCAGAGCCCTTGCACACTGAATTCGAGGCAATGTCAATGGCTTTTATGCCTAGGGTGGCAACAACGGATTGTTGTGCTGACTAGCAACGAAAAATATCTGGAAGTTGTGCACGTTGTGGAGCCGTGAGCTATGCGTAGCGTCCAAGGCGGCACTGCAGTGCGGACTCGAGCAAGGCACCACAAATGGTCACCACGAATCCCGTCTTGGTGGTGGGATGGCCTCCGTATTTTTCGATGTTAAAGCCAAGTCGTTGCTGATTCGGAGCAGCCAAACTGATTTTTCTATACTCACCTCATTTTGTGGGCAGGCATTTCTGGCACCGCCTATAAGTATGCAGCATGCCTCAAGTT